GACTCACCTTTGCCACACTGCTGGAAATACCGTATGCGAAAACCTATAAAAAAGTGCTTTTGGATTCAAAAAAACTATGTCGGCAAAAAATGCCGCCTGCTCTATGAGGAAATGCCCACTGTGCCTGGAAAGTCCACCTGCCATCGCAAGCTGGACACTTTCACAAAAAATCTGAAATAAAAATTGAAGTATAATAGTATTTTGGCTTTCATCACATTACAGTATCATGCATCAAAGAAAAGCTAAATGTGTGGATTCTAACGAATGCTACAATCAGTTTTCGAGACACAGTAGAGACTACTGGATTTCTACAATGATACTACGTATTCTGCTTCCATAGATAGAAAACGGGCTGGAAACTAGGACGATATCCTGCCTGCATTAATACTGCCAAAAACTCGTCGCAAATAGTGAATATCGATCATTATTAGTCTTGTAGATTTGCTTTGAATATATCTAGTGCTATTTCAACTGGGTATGCCATACCGATACCGAAAATACCGACTTTTTTTACTTGAAATTTTTTGGATGTTTTCATTTTAAATGAGGTATTTTAGCATCCTGGACAAGCAGAACGTATAAAAAACACCCAGGTGTGTATTCTGAGCATGTCCAGATAGAAAAAAAGAAAAACTTTGGCTTTAGAAAGCAAACAAAGCTCTTGTTTTCCGTCCATGATTCATTCTGGGTGTCCAGGACGTTAAAATATCTTATTTCAAATGAAAAAAATCCAAAAAGATCCAAGTCAAAAAAAGTCGCTGTTTTCGGTATCGGTATGAATACCGATACCGGTGCATACCTAATTTCGACGCAGCAAGCAGATGAAAACCTATGCTTTTATAAATATTGTTTTGAATAATTTTCTCTACTCCAAAAGAAATCTCGCTCAATCAAGGAAATGCTAAGTTCCTTTTACTATGCAAAGTTACCTCTTTGTACTATGCAACTTAATCAGACTCTCGATGTTCTACTGTACTGGATCCGAGAAAATCCCATAGAAGTCTACATCCGCCCATCAACTCGCAAGACGAGTATTAATGATTGCTAGTCTATGTTTATCAGCACAAAGAATAGAATAATTCAAATTCATGAGCTGATGGGATTTGTCATGAAAGTAGATGTACCCAGCTACATTTTGGGATTAAGAACACCGATTGATTCTTTCTTTCCGCACAGACTGATTGGATGGTCTCCTTACAGCTGTGAAATTGTTTACTTTTAATGTTTTAATTCTTTTAGAAAGACGTGCAAACAAGAAGATGCACAACCCGATCAATACGAACCTTGGAGTCCTACTGAAGAACTGTAACATTCTAAACTCTGCTAATAGCCGTAACAAGTGAGTATTCAATAGGGATGCCTAAAATCAGATTTGAAGGTGAGGATGTATAATATCTCTCAATCCAAATTTATACAAAACTCTCTCACTTAACATACCTGACGCATCTTGCCGACGATTTTTACTGTCCTTTTGGGGTTACATCAAGAGGAAAAAAGCGTACTTCTGTACTTCAGAAGTATAGAAGTACGGAGAAATACCAAGAAGCACGGAGAAGTACACAGAAGTATTGCTCATTGATGAAGTACGGAGAAGCACCGAGAAGTACGACGAAGTACCGCGAAGTACCAAGAAGTACAGAAGTACGCTTTTTCTCCCTTGGGTTACATTCTTACTTTTTGCTTCTCTGTGTATATCGTATCTTAAAGTGCAAGAACCTAGTTAGCTCTAGTGGATTTAAAAAAATTATTGATGCAGAAACATTTTCCGCAGTCTAGCTCCATATTTGACGACTTAACGAACGTAAACTAGAGGGAAGTTTTAGAGTGACACGTGCATTTCGAAAAATAGAAAAACTTATCTTTGAGAAGTCGGGTTATAAATACTAGCTCAAATTGGAATTTCTCATCCTCAATAATCTATAGTAATATTTCATCAAAATGACCAAATGTGTTAAAATGAGAAGCTTAATTTTGATTATTTCAACAGATAAAGAAACAAATACAAATTTTTTGCATTTAGCATTCTTTGTGAAGAAAAAACACACCGTAGCTCATATCTGTGTTCCCGAAAATAAGATTTTAGTTTATTTTTCAATAAAATCTGCACGAAGGGCATGCTAGGCGATCATTTCCTAATATCATCAAGCGTTCCAAACATCAAAATTTTTGCGAAGGAATTCTTCTCTCTTCCTCATAATCCTCACGTCATTTGCGAAATTCTTTTTCGAATATTGGTTTGAAAAGTAAAGATAAATCAAGAAGATCTCTCACTTATATGTAACCTATGACAAGTAGTTGATATCGCACATAAAAGTAACCATTTTCATCAGTTATTCGTTTTGTTACCAAAAATAAGGGGCACTTTCGGTTTATTTGCATATTCCCCTTAAATTAAGGGCGCAATAGTGGAAAACAGTTCCCAATGTTACAAAATGCTCTTCTGATATAAACAAAAGTTTTGATCATGTCCGAGCTGAGTGATGGTTGCTGTTACTCATAGTGGTAAATGTCTACTAGTAAAATTGAAGGATTTGTAGCACACAATAATTCAAAAAGCAATATTTTTCGAATTTTAGTTTTGTCTAGGAACAGTCAAAAGGCATCTCTTAAGCTTTATTTTTTGATTTATACAGCTGCGTTTTGCTTATGACTGGCTCCTTCAATCCTATTCACCCGTTGCATTTGCAAAACCTTCAATGCGTCAAAGATTACCTCGAAACTGAACATCAACCTGCATGGAATGTTCTTGCAGGATATATATCACCAACACAGTACGTTATCTTCATTTTTTTCTGTCTCTTACCACACCTGTCTAATTGTTTGCTCTAGTGATGAATATGTGCATTCAAAATTGCGTGATCCCGCATGGATCCCAGCACGAGATCGATGCCAACTTTGCGAAGAGGCAATTGACGATGTTACAATTAATCATCAAGAGCAAAAACTTCCATCATGGGTGTCAGTTACGAGAGGAGAAAGTGAATGGGCTGATGGTTTTGTAGATTTTGCACCTGTTACCGAAAATTTTCGTGACTTTCTCAATGACACTCTTGTTGAGCAAGAGAAGGTTCTCAAGTATCGATTATCTGTCATCTATGTTTGCGGATTAGATCATTTTAACAAATGCTCTGATGTCCGAAAGATGGCCGAATTAGACAATATTATCCCTGCAGTTGTCTTTCGTAGTGGCAATGATGAGCAAATGATTAGCCGTTCATGCAAATCATCTAGGGTCATCTATATTCCCTTAACAAAACAGAGGGAGAAATCTCTCGATGTCAGTTCGACTCAAATTCGAGAACATTTTCAAAATCCAAGCGCAAGTAATAGGAACATTGAGAAATATATTTATCCTAATGTTCGTGCATATATGATGAAAAAATACAGAAAATAATGTGTAACACATTTTTCCTTTTTTGAAATCTTAGAAAAGCATAGTCGCTTTTAGATTACGAACTTATGTAGTGCGCCAATGAAACTTGAATTTTTTTTCATTCTTTCTTAATTTTGTGAAATATTTCAATAAATATTCATGATTACCAAACAAAATAAAGGAAATAGAAAAGCACCTCGTATAATAAGTGATGAAGTAAAAAGTCATTATAGCGTCTATTTGACGGCGCTTATTTGAGATGTTCATAGAATGTATTATTCAGTATTATTTATTTATTATTTATTATATTTATTAGAATTTATTATTCCTGGTCATAGAAGTTTGAATTTTGGTTTCCGGAGTAGAGCAAACATTTCTGCATCGAATGATGTATTGTTCATTGAAATACGATGAATTCTCACTGAACCACAAGCGTGACAACACAAGCTACTCTTGACTTTTTTCCATTCTACCCTGTTTCTAATTCCATCACCTCCAGCCAAAATGGCTAGAGAACGCGATCGATCGCGTGCAAAACTTGTTTCATTAGGAAAAGCACTGCCAATCGAGTCGATTCTGGTATCGCTGGGATCCCCAGATCAAGATCTACACGTTGATGTGTATGACGGCAAAAACAAGTGAGGTTTTCCCCCTCATTTTTCTCGTATAAACGAAGCAGTGGGTGATGCAATTAGGAACCTGTTCCTAATTCCATCACCCCAGCTATTTCGTGTTCCTAATTCCATCACCCCAAGCAGAAATGGCTGGAGAAACGACTCCTTCACTTTGTCGTACGTTACTTTCGAGTTACTTTGAGTATAAAAGTAACTAAAACTAACTCGAAAGTGATTGCCGTTGAGATCCAATTCTTATGTAAGAAATTCATAAGAGTCCTATAAAAATTATACGATTCTTATACTCAAAAAAAGAAAAGAAAAGAAAAAACCAAATAACTTTTGTTTTTGTTGTCTGGAGGACGAAGACAAAGTTTTGAGCTTTGTAATTTTTGAATATCTTTTATAAGGCATAAGGTTATAAGAATCTCGAAATTTTACACTTTACGCAAGTAATCTGAACTCTTACGTCGCTTAGTATCTTGCCGTAAGAAAAATTTCGTTTTGTATTTAGAGTAAGACATTTTGGATTATTTTCGATTTCGGATAATCAATCCTCGATCGAAATCAAAAGTGTCTTACTCTAAATACAAAACGAAATTTTTCTTACGGCAAGATACTAAGCGACGTAAGAGTTCAGATTACTTGCGTAAAGTGTAAAATGAAGTTAACGTGCAAAATAGTATAAAGTGTGGGATCCTCTTTAATGTGGAGGCCTGAGAATAACACCTATCAGAAAAAAACAGACTTAATTTTCGGGTAGCTCGAATTTTGAGTACCTTGGTTCGAGTTTTCTGGTAACTCGAAGCTCGGTGCATACCTAACTGCGACAGATAGCGATTTTCTTTTCTTATTCACGTTATATATAATGTGTGCGCACGTTACAACGTGCTATAAAGGAAAAAGAACGAAGGAAACATGACATCATGCAGAAAACAGTCTTAATATATATGTTATATACATCAAACACAGTTGATAACGCACATTGTAACGTGCGCACACACTATATATAACTTGAATAAGAAAAGAAAATCGCTATTTGTCGCAGCTCTAATCACATTAAAACTCGTCTACTCGCCATCCAATAGATATGTGAATAAGATCGGAGTCGTTCCGCACAGGTCCGCCCAGTATTACATGAGCTAAAAGCCGGGAAGGTTTGACTATATGCAATCGATAGTCCTACTAAGGGTACGTAAAGGCCTCTGTCCCCGCATAGAAAAATTATTCCGAATACGGTTTTTCACCGGCCATAAGTTCTGAATTGAAGTTTCTTCTATATACTCACCGGCCTTGTTAAATGTTCCTTTATATTATTTTACTTGATGAAAATATGAGGTTGCTGTTGACCGATGGGTATTTCTGCACAGATCAGCCCACTTTATACACGTATTAAAGCCGGGAAGGTCTGATTATATACAATCGATAGTCCTACTAAAGGTATGGAAAGACCACTGTCGCCCACGGAAAAATTATTCCGAATACGGTTTTTCACCGGCCATAAGTTCTGAATTGAAGCGTTTTTAGGGGTGCCAGAAGAGCGGAA